AGTAGGCAAGGCACGGACTCTATGACATTACAAGCCAAGACAAACTTGACTACAGAATTATCATCATTGCTTATATGCCTTGAATTAATGAACCCACAGGTTTACCATATCAAACAATCGACAAGTAAAAATTGAAGAAACAGCGAGACAGATTCACCTTTCCTTCCCCTGCCCGTGCAGAAGAGCTATCTTCAGCCCCAGGCGCCTAACCTTTTCTTAATAGCATGGCAAATCGGTGGCTTTGGGCCATGCATTGCTTCCTCTAAACTGTCATCAAAAAATTTGCTTGTCATGTTTTACGTACACCATCTCAGTAAATCAGACCTCTATAACAATAAGGCAAAACATAACCAAACCTGGGGCCCCACGCCTAGAACCATGCCTTGCTTGCCCTTCTGTCGCCATGGTTTTTTACCTCCCTGACCCTCACTAATTGTTTTAGTTGAATGCGTACCCTGTAGATCAGCCCATCAACATAATAAAAAATTCTCCACAGAAGCTTCTCCCACAGCAGTAAACGCATTCCAGCATTCTAATACTCTAGGAAAATAAAATAACCTATTCAATGCGAAGATATTAGTATATCAATGGTTTCTCATTCTTCTACAATATTTTAGATGCTTCTCAGAGCAGTAAATAAAATTCAAAGTGTTATTCAGTAGATCAAGCTATGCCATGAATTAATTTACAGCAAATACAGACACCAGATTTCAGAGTGCATAAGATTGTTGTACAAAACCTGTTGTCGTTTTGCAAGCTGCCATCTCACAACACGATGAATAATATCTTTTCTAATAGGTACATCAAAAACAACTCCAGCTAAGACCGTCAAGCCCTTATCTTCACCAAGAAAGTTCGTCACTGGAATTACAAGGTCCTGGTAAAGTCCTGAAAGAATATTTTATGAGTATAATACTACAGCGAATAAGCAGAATGCTGATATCTCCCCATTGAAAAGCAAATATAACGGATAAGCCACTATAGAATATCCTGCATTCACTTAATAATCATGAAAATCATTTTAATACATGAATATTCAAGGAAATATCTTCTTGAGTCCTCTTATAAAATTACTAGTTCTGCAAGACATTTCAAACCTCTGGACCAATTCATGCTTTCCCTTGTTTCCTAAGCAGTTCATGGCTTATTTTTCTACATTTCAAGTTGCATTTCCAGGGGCTATCGACACATGTAAAAGATGGTCATTATAATCCTCTGTATCTTTTACAAGAAAGGCGCTGTAAAGCACATTCCATCCATACCTATGTCACGATCAGGCACGATTACTTCCTTCTTGGACAATAAGTCAGAAGGGAAGTCAGCTTCACCATTAGGAATCAGTATTGAGGTTGACAGCCTTCGACGATCAACGAAAAAAGCATCATCCTACATACGGTTACATAAAACACACCCCAATGTCAGGAGTTAAAGCTAAGGATGGGCTTATATCATGTCCATCAATCAACTGCTATGAACTCTAGACAGTAGAAAGTAAGACAACCCAAGTCTGCTTCTTCAATAGGAAGAGACCACTAGGTTATAGAGCAAAGCCGAGAGCACATTCAAAGGCATATAATAAAGAAATTGAAACATCCAAAATTATGATTTCACTCGCAATACACCATCGAAAGCATTTGATCGAGTAAAATCCGCGGAGCAACCACAGGCACAAAAAATTGCTCTTTTGCTATTCTTTTGCATTCACCACATGTAATTATAACACAGAAGTAGAACACGAACATACCCTTAATGATCGAGAAAACTCCGCAGTGGATAAGCTCTCTTGCGAAACGAGGCCGCGCAAATCTACCAAGAAAAATTACAAAACCATTAAAACCCATCTCAACGAACGATCGAAATCAAGAATCCACGTAGTCAAACAGATAGGACAGCGAAAAGAACCATTCGCGGCCGAAACCGAGCCGACAAGCCTCCACTGGCCCAACGGCCCGAGCGACCGCAACACCCTCCTGGAAATCGACAATGCGATGTCCCTAACTTCGTCGGGAACCGTCACCTCCTCCTCATCTGCCGCCAAACAGAACAAAGCAACGGCCGCCATAAGAACGAAACTTCCACCGCTTTCCCTGAATCATTTCCAGCATCGCACACGCTCGAATCGGCGAATACGTCCGGACGCATTCACCAGGAAACGGGAAAGCCGGCGGATCGATTCAGCTGAAACCCAACAGAGTTCAGGTTCGCGCAAAGCGAGAGAGGAGAGAGAGATTACCGGAAGCTCCGTGGGCGGCGGCCGGCGGCGATGGACTGACGGCTGAGCTGCAGGTGGGAGAGAGAGATAGGGAGAGAAACCCCGCCAAGTTTCAAAAACCCTGCTTTGCTCAGATGGACTATTTTCACCTCTAAAAAGCCCATCAAAGGAACTATTATGGGCCGGGTCAGGCCGGTCTGGATCGGGTCGAGTCGGGCCAGAGTCGGTGTTGGGAGTATAAATCTTTGCTTATATTTACTTATTTTTATCGTATTCTCCTACGTAGGAAAATGAGACTTGACATTTTTACTGCTAATCTATCCGATTTAGACTGAGTGATGAAAAATGGAAAAGGAGATGTCTATTCAATTTCTTTTCGAAGAAGAAAGGAGTAAGAAAAAATAAAAGTTTATGTTATAACGAATCGTACTTAGAGATATTGATAGAACACAAATTGATTAACTAAGCAACAGCTCGCAAACCCCATAAAAAAGAATGCTTATTATTTGATCCGTATCTTGACACAAGAAGTCCAACGGAAGCAACACTGGAAATGGCGATCCGTAAAAGAAAACACCGATATTGAGATCATATAAAACGATGTCATAACTAGAAGGAATTACTGAGTAACTTAGTGAAATTGATATAACTTCTATGGATGGGCCTATATCGAATAAACGAGTATCTCCTCTAGATAAAAAAAGATTTTATTTGAAAATAAGTTTTGTCCCATATGCTAAAGCTTAAAGAATTCCCAAAGGACTGGCATATTTGGGACCAATACGTTGCTGTGTTCCTATATCTCTTTCTAACCACACAATTACAAGTATATTTGTAGTGTATCCCAATACAAGAGTAAAAATACATAAAAACATCACCATGATTCCATAGACTTCTTTTAAAGATTTCAATCTAGAAAATTTTTTTATATCTAATTAATTTGGCACAAAATATAACAGTATGAGACAGATTTATTTTCCTTAAATAAAGATTTAACAAGTAATTAATTTGTCTCAAAAAATGCCAATTTGAGGCAATTTGTTTGATCTTAAAGGAAGTTGTAAAAGCAATAGGATTTTTTAGAGGTTCTGAAAATTAAAAAAAAGGGAAAAAGTGCATTGAAAATCCTCCAACTTGTCGCGAAAAGTACAATTGAATACTAAAACTTTCAAAAAGTACAATTCAATTCTAAAATTTGTCAAATTTATCCAATTAAATCATTCCGTTGATTGCACTTTTTAAAAGTTTTAGGACCCGATTACATTTTCGTGATAAATTTTAGAACTCGATTGCATATTTTGAAAGTTTTATGACTCGATTACATATTTATGACAAGTTTTAGAACTTTCTGAGCATTTATCCCGTTAAAAAAAGGGAAAAAACCACCAAAAACCCCAAATTTTGCCATCTGTGACACATTTACCCCGAACTTTTTTTTGTGACACCAAAAACCCCGAACTTTGCTTTTTGTAACACATTTACCCCAATGTATTTAGTCCATGGGCATTTTCGTCTTTTCTGCTTTTTCTTTTTTTTTTTTTTTTTTCCTTCCCGGCTGGTGGGGCCTCGCCGTGTCATTTCCTCACTACGGATCCGGCGAGGGGCCTCGCCGGCGCCGAGCCGAGGCGGCCACTGCGCGGCGTCGGGCGAGGTTCGCCCTCGCCTTTTTGGGCGAGAGAGGGCCGCCACTCGCCGGCTCGGCCAGCGAGCGTCGACCAGCGGCTGGCGTCGGCGAGGGTCGACCTCGCTCGAGCCGGGGCGAAGGCCTCCACGCAGCGGATCTCTGGCGAGGTCCGCCCTCGCTCGACGCCGGCGAGGGTCGACCTCCGCGAGATCGGGCGAGGACGCCTCAGTCGCCCGGGCGAGGCGAACCTCGCCCGACGCCGGTGAGGCCGCCCTGCTTTGCGGCAGGGGCGGCCCTCGCCCGACTTCCGGGCGAGTCGACCCTCGCAACGCCGGCGAGGTCGGCCTCACAGAGTCGGGCGAGGCAGCCCTCGGGTCGCGGGCGGCGGCCTGCGCGGCCGCCCTCGCAGGCGTCGAGAGCGGAGGCGCCCTCGCCCGGGCGGCAAATCCCTCGCCCGACTTCAGGCGAGTCGACCCTCGCCTTGGCTGTCGGGCGAGTCGACCTCGCACGAGTCGGGCGAGGCCGCCACTCGCTCGCCCGGCGCGGCGACCACTCGCCGGCGCCCGGCCGAGGTCCGCCCTCGCACAGGCGGCGAGGCGGCCCTCGCCCGACTTCGGGCGAGGTGTTCCTCGCCCGACTAGCCGGCGAGTCGACCTCGCTGAGTCGGGCGAGGGCACGCCACACCTCGCTCGCCCGGGCGGCGAGCCTCGCCCGACTGCCGAGCGGGACGGGCCCTCGCCGGATCTGGCGAGGGCCGCCCTCGCTCGACGCCGGCGAGGGCCCCCCTCGCCGGATCCGGCGAGGCCGACGCCGGCGAGGCCCCCCCTCGCCGGAAAGGGAAAAAAAAAGAAAAAAAAAAAAAAAAAAGCAGAAAAGACGAAAATGCCCATGGACTAAATACATTGGGGTAAATGTGTCACAAAAAGCAAAGTTCGGGGTTTTTGGTGTCACAAAAAAAAGTTCGGGGTAAATGTGTCACAGATGGCAAAGTTTTGGGTTTTTGGTGGTTTTTTCCCTTAAAAAAAAGATTTTTAAAGCATCATCTATCCTAACACAAATATTTCGTATTTCCAAAACATTTTTTTCCTTTTCCATTTACCAACGAACCGACCGTTTGAAACGCGGGAACATCCCCAAGACACACACCAAAGTTGGTTTCCTCGGATGCTCAGAAAAATCCTCAAGCAGAACGCAGCAAAAGCACTGCGAGATTCGGACACGACCCAAGAAACATTCCAAGCTCCACGGGCCTTGAGTTCGCTGAGAAGCATTGCGAGACGCCGCAGCATCTGCCTGATCGATTCCTCCACCACCCTCCGAGAGCTCCTGCAAATCCACGCCCACCTCCTCCTCAACGGCCTCCTCAACGAGCCCCAGTTCTTGGGCCAATTCGTGGCCGCCGTCGCCCTCAGGAACCCCGAGAACCTCGAGCACGCCAGCCGGGTCCTCGACCGATGCGAGAACCCGACCCTGTTCAGCTTGAATTCCATGATCAGGGTCCACTCCAAGAGCCCGACCCCGCAGAAGAGCTTCCGCTACTACAACAGGATCCGGCATTGCGGCTTGTCGCCGGACAATTACACTTTCAATTTCTTGGTCTGCGCGTGCGCGCAGCTTCCGGCGTGCGGCGTGGGGGAATCGGTGCACGGTGCTCTGGTGAGACATGGGTTCGAGGGCGACCCGCATGTTCAGAGTGGGTTGATTAATATGTACGCGGAGATGGGTAGTTTGGAATCGTGTCGTAGGGTGTTTGGAGGGATTCTTGATCGTGACGTGGTGTGTCAGACGGCAATGCTGAGCGCTTCCGCCAAGTATGGTGATGTCGTGTTCGCTAAGCAGCTGTTTGACGAAATGCCCGAGAGAGATACTGTTGCTTGGAATGCGATGATTGCAGGGTATGCCCAGTGTGGGGAATCGAGGGAGGCCTTGAATTTGTTCCATGAGATGCAACTGGAAGGTGTGAAGGTCAATGAGCCTTCTATGGTTCCGGTTCTATCTGCGTGCACTCAATTAGGTGCACTGGATCAAGGGAGGTGGGCTCATGCATATATTGAAAAGAGCAGGCTTCGGATAACGTTGACATTAGGAACTGCATTGATTGATATGTATGCCAAATGCGGTGACATGGATAAGGCCATGGAGGTCTTCTGGGGGGTGAAAGAAAGGAACGTTTACACATGGAGTTCTGCCATGAATGGACTGGCCATGAATGGAGCTGGTACGGAATGTCTCGAGCTTTTCTCGCTCATGAAGAAAGACGGGGTTCTCCCGAATGAAGTGACGTTTGTGTCGGTATTGAGAGGCTGCAGTGTAGTTGGACTAGTCGAGGAAGGCTGTAAGCATTTTGCCTCAATGACCAAGTTGTATGGAATCCAGCCTGAACTGGAGCATTATGGCTGCATGGTTGATTTGTATGGCCGAGCTGGCCGTTTAAATGAAGCGTTAAATTTCATCAATGACATGCCGGTGGAGCCTCATGCCGGCGCTTGGGGAGCTTTACTAAATGCATGTAAAATTCACAAGAATATGGAAATAGGTGAGCTTGCCTCAAGAAAGATGGTGGAGCTTGAAGCAAAGAGTCACGGTGCCTACGTGCTTTTGTCCAATATCTATGCTGATAACAAAAGCTGGGAAGATGTAAGCCATGTGCGGCAGGTAATGAAGTCTAGAGGCGTGAAGAAGCTTCCGGGCTGCAGTGTTGTAGAAGTTGATGGTGAAGTTCATGAGTTCTTTGTTGGAGATAACTCCCACCAAATGTATAACGAAATTAAAGTGATGTTGGGTGAGATCTTCAGGAGGCTGAGATTATCAGGGTACATGGCCAACACGAACCCCGTTTTGTTCGATATAGAAGAAGAAGAGAAAGAGAATGCTCTGGCTCTACACAGTGAGAAGATTGCCACTGCATTTGGTTTGATCAGATTGAAGAAAGACGTTCCTATAAGAATTGTTAAAAACCTTAGGATCTGTTGGGATTGTCATGATTTTATGAAAATTGTTTCTCGAACTTTTGATAGGGAAATTGTTGTGAGGGACAATAATAGGTTTCACCATTTCAAAGGTGGTGGGTGCTCTTGCAGGGATTATTGGTGACAATATACAGTTCAGTTGTGCAATTATTATTGGCAGTGTATCTTCTCATGCATTGTTTGTCCATGAATCCAAAGCCAAACGTCGAGAGCTTTTTACTGACAAATCATGAACCCATATCAGTCTGTTCTATTTTCACATATCCTGCCACATGAATTTGCAAACAAAAGACTATTCTTTTGTCCTTGACCTCAGGGGGGCTATTGACCCAGTAAATCAGGTGAAGGCTGCCGATTGAGTTTCACTTTGAAAGCCAATGGCTACATTGAGCAATTCTAGTCTTGTAGATTATGAAGCAGAGAACAAGAACAATATGATCAGGGAGTCAACAAAAACCACATGGATGAACCCTGATAACCGCTGTTCAATGTCCAATACCAAAGCTTAGCAAGAATGAATTTAATTTCTGCTGTGTAATTGGTGTGTTTTACGCAACCTTGACGCCGACATCTCCAACAGTGGGAAGGGGAAAATGGACAAGCTTTTGGCTTGACGCTTTGGTGCATGTATATGTCTCTCATAGATCGTTTCCTGGACCTTTTATTATTTCTAGGAGCAAGGAGGCCCTTGTGTTTGAATGTTATTGGTCCATTGATGGGAGAATCACTAGGGAAGTTGATTTTTCGAACAAGCCTACGACTAGGAACTCAAAACTTTTGCTAGTCTTTCCTGATTTGCTGTGTAATTCAAAGATCTCTCTCGATACTGCTGTGAAGATAGAACTTTTTCTATAGAGTTTCATTTCAATTTGTTAGAGTAGAAAGTTGATGGAGGCAGAGAGGTGTTTCCTCGGAGTTATTTGGAAAGTGAGAGTACCTACAAGACTCTCTCTCTCTCTCTCTCTCTCCGTAAGCAACTTGGAATGTTTCTAACCTTAATAAATTTGCATTAGAGGCAAAGTGTGGGTCACTAGGCGCTTCCTTTGCAAAGCAAAGGCAGAGAAGGTGAGACATCTTCTCCTTCATTGTTCTTGGACAGATTGTTTTGGGCGGCCTTTTATGCTTTCATTGGGCTAACTTGAGTTACAGGATTGGAGGTTCTATTGAGCATGAATTATGGGTTTGCAGGGCCCCCATTTGCCTAGTGTTAAGAAAGAAGGATCTCTCCAATCCTCATTCCGGTTCTTGGTTGATTTGGAAAGAACATAAGAAGAGAACCAAGGAGAGAAGATGCCTGTTTTGGTAATTATTGAGGATTGGCTGAAAAAATTACATCTTTTGGTATTGTGGAAACTTGTGCATGCAAATGCTTACCGAGCTCTTTTTTGGTTCTTTGAATTTTCTTTTAATATGGGTTTGCACCCCCTTGCTGCCCACAGTAGTTTATCTTTTATCTATCAAAAGAAGATGATTGTTTCTATAAAACTTCGAGATGTTTTCTGAATTCTGATCTATGTATGATGGAGGTCCCAACTCCTGGTTTTGTATGTTTTTACGCAGATTCAATATGCTCTAAACAACTTGATAGGCTATAAGATGATTAGATTGGCCGACAAATTGGTCCATAGTTCCTCTGTCTGCTGTTACCGACCCTCTGCATCATTCCGCCTAGCCTGCTAAGAGAGATGATCAATTTACCCTTAACAATTAAACGTATTATTTGAGTCATGTAAAACAATATAGACAATGTATTCAAGAATTGTTTTGATTGAACTTGAAGATATATTTAAAGGATCTCTGTACCCCTTTTTTTCTGGCTAGTGATAAAAATCTCGTTTCTGGTTAGGTTAAAAGTGAGGTTACATTCTCAATCCTATTCCAAATTCAGTCCTACTCAAAACGTTAATTGTTATAAGGCATTCCTAATATAAAATTGTCGCGACCAACCTCTGGTTTTTTTTTTTTAATCAAAAAAGGGGGTCTCGCCTTGTATGCGCTAAGTCTAGGTTCGGGACTTAACTCGGGCTCTCCCAAGCCTATACCATATCGCGACTTAGGGTTTAGGTTTTTAACCTGCAAGTGGTTTTTCTCTAGGAGTCGCCACTAATCGATTTGGGGTGGATCGATTAGGGTGCGCATGAAAACCATTCTATTCCAGAATGAGTTCCTGACACAAAAATAGATTTTTCTATTTCTGATTCCAGGATGAGTTTCTGAGAAAAGAAACCCGTTTGATAATGATAAAAAATTTCTATTTCTGGAACAGAAACCCGTTTGATAACAGCACAAAATTTCTATTTCCTAAAACTAAAACCCGTTTGATAAACAACACAAAATTCTATTTCCAGGAACAAAAATCCATTTTTTTAGAAATGGAATAAAAATAATTAGAAAATCCAAAAAATTCCTAAAAATCTCAAAAAAATTCAAAAAATCCAAAAAAATTGAAAAATTCTAGAAAAATTCATCACAATTTCCAAAAAATAAAAAAAATTCAGATTTCGGGAAAATAGGAAATTTGTTGAATTTTTTCAAAAAAAAAATCAAAAAATCAAAAATTTCAAAACTTCATAGAATGACTTAAAATACCTGTGGCCACCCACTTTTAGTGAAATTTAAATTTTTTTAGGTGCCCAAAAAAAATCAAAAAATCAAAAATTTCAAACCTTCACAGAATAGTTTAGAATACATGTGGCCACCCACTTTGAGTGAAATTTAAATTTTTTAAGGTGCCCAAAAAAATTCAAAAACTCAAAAAATTTCAAAACTTTACAGAATGGCTTAGAATACCTGTGGCCACCCACTTTGAGTGAAATTTTAATTTTTGGAGGTGAAAAAAAAAGCAAAAAATCAAAAAATTCAAAACTTCACAGAATGACTTAGAATATCTGTGGCCACCCACTTTGAGCGAAATTTTAATTTTTTTAGGTGCCGAAAAAAAAAATAAAAACATAAAAAATCAAAAATTTCAAAACTTCACAGAATGACTTAGAATGCCTCTAGCCACCCACTTTGAGTGAAATTTAATTTTTTTTAGGTGCCCAAATGGTATTTTTGATTTTTTTTATTTTTTAATTCTTTTTTCGGCACCTAAAGAAAATTAAATTTCACTCAAAGTGAATGGCCACATGTATTCTAAGCCATTCTGTGAAGTTTTGAAATTTTTGATTTTTTGTTTTTTTTTTATTTTTTTCAGCACCTAAAAAAAATAAAATTTCGCTCAAAGTGGGTGGCCACAGGTATTTTAAGCCATTCTGTGAAGTTTTGAAATTTTTGCTTTTTTGCTTATTTTTATTTTTTTTGGCATCTAAAAAAAATTAAATTTCACTTAAAGTGGGTGGCCACATGTATTCTAAGCCATTATGTGAAGTTTTTTTATTTTTTATTTTTTTATTTTTTTCGACAACTAAAAAAATTAAAATTTCGTTCAAAGTGGATGGTCACAGGTATTCTAAGCCATTCTGTGAAGTTTTGAAATTTTTTATTTTTTGCTTTTTTAATTTTTTCGGCAACTAAAAAAAATTAAATTTCGCTAAAATTGGGTGGCCACAGGTATTCTAAGACATTCTGTGAAGTTTTTAAATTTTAAATTTTTTGATTATTTTTTATTTTTTTGGCATCTAAAAAAATTAAATTTCGCTCAAAGTGGGTGGCCATAGGTATTCTAAGCCATTTTGTGAAATTTTTTATTTTTTTTTTTTTATTTTTTTCGGCACCTAAAAAAATTTAAATTTCGCTCAAAGTGGGTAGCCACAGATTCTAAACCATTCTGTGAAGTTTTGAAATTTTTGATTTTTTGCTTTTTTTTCCCACCTCAAAGATCGTGACTTCCAGATGAACATGTGTTTTGAAAAAAGAGTTCTCTCAGAAATGATTCTCATTTTTTGTCTAGAAATAGAAAACCTACTTTTTTTTTGTTCCGATTTCTGGTTCAGAATTGGTTCTGGAACAAAAAGTTGTCCCAGAAATAGAAAAATGATATTGCGTTACCAAACGGGTTTCTGTTCCAAAACTGTTTCTGGGAATAGAAAACTAGTTCTGGACAGAACCAGAATGGTTATCATGGGCTACCTTAAACACCAAAGTAAAGTGAAGGGAGAATCACCCTACTCCTACAAACTAGAGATTAAATGAGTTTGGGGACTTGGTTACACTAGTTGGGTAACTAATACCCTTTCGGTACCTTTTTACCCTGTTTATGTCAGGCAATTTGGATTGATTTTTGGACCTGTCTTCTAATATGTGAGGTGATCAGGTGGGTATGCAATCATTAAATTAACAATCAGCAGTTAAAATAAATATACAACTTAGGGTTCTAATCCTAACTAAGGATACGACATTTAGCATATAAGACAGTTTATGCAACCATATAGCTAGGAAAAACATGCATAATAATAATGCAACATCAATTTAACACATTCATATATGTCAAATAATTTAGAAAAATATTCAACAATACTATATCTAAATTATATCCTAATTTTACAAGAAAATAAAAAAAATTATTATTTTTTAAATTTTTTTAATAAAAATAATAATATAATATTAAAACCGGGTCGGGTCGACGGATTGGGTCGTTTAGAACCGACTTGGGTCAACAGATCCGACCCATCGCGTTGACCCGAGTCGAATTTCCAGATCCGACTCGGGTCAGGGGGGTCAACTCGGGTCTGGACCAGGTCGAGCTCAGTCGGGGCCCGGTCCAGTGGATAAAGAAGAAATAGGGCCGGTTCAACCAGGTCGAACCGGCCCTATTAGGCCTATAGACCGGTCGGACCGGTCTGCAGGCCGGTCCAGGGACGGTTCTCGCATGCCTGGACATACGTGAGCCTCGGCGACGAGATTCGGCGTCTTGCCGGCCGACCCAAGCCACCTATGGCCTGGATTTCCACCCAACTTACCTTCTCCAACCACCAGGCCCGTTGTTCGACGGCCCGTTCGCCGGCCGGCGACCAAAATCAAACCTGCTTCATTAAGACATTTCAACAAATACATGCCGTACACAAATAAAAACGAGAGATTTCGACCTGTTTCGAGGTTCTGACCAGCTCCGACGGCCACGACTCGCTCCCGACCATGACTATGGACCGGGAGGAGGATCAGTATGGGTTGGGATTCGCGCCTAACGGTCGGCGCGAGTCCCGGCCAAAGTGCACACAAAAAC